CTCCCATGACCCTGGGAGGGAAGATGCTCTAGAGCATCACTCCCCTCCAGGCTGGGAGCTGCCAGCCCACAGCACTGGAAAGGTTTGAGTTAACCACAGGATTGCGAGTTTTATACTTGTTTTATACCTTAATTATGTTTATCCACTGATATTTATTTAGGCAGAAAAGCGGGATGAGGAATTCTTTGTGCTGTAGTATTTTTTTTGTGTGCCTTTTAATGTGTGTAATTGGTGTGCAGAGCCAGTGGAGCGCTGCTCTGACCCTGGCTAAGGCAAGCCCACAGCAGCCTCTCCAGGAGGGAGAAGAGAGACATCCCACCGGAGCCACCACCGCAGCAACACACCCACCGCTGCCATGCAGTGCATTAGCAGCTCTTTAGTAACACGCTTCGACAAGAACCCACAATTTCAGGCACACAGTGAAGAAAACTGCCTTTGAATTGCTGAGGAATTTTTAGCCGGCAGGATGTAATGACCTCCGTTGGAAGGTGGCCGGGGCACTGCCTCAGTGCCACCAGGGACGCTGGAAGGTCCCACAGCCTGCAGGCTGGCAAGCAGCAGCACCCAGGCAACGGGCCAGAAAAAATCCCAAGTAAGAACAGGATTGACCAGGCCACCCTGCACCAGGCTTGCTGTAAGCACAGGCCCCCATGAGTCCGAGATGTACCCGTTGCTCCAGGAGAAGGGAGCAGACAGGCAGCAGCACCTCCTGCCAGTGTGATCTCCTCCAGACCCCCCATGCGTACCCAAGTCCATGCTGGAGTTTCGCCCTCCAGAACTAGTGATGAGCGGGTGGCTGAGTGCTGCAGCACCAGCACTGGGAAGAGCTCGGCACCTCCTGGGTGGCCGGGAAAGGTCTTTGGTTGCTAAAGCTGCTCCAGACCTTGCAAAACGTGACACGCAATCCTTACACACCCACTGCTTGGTGACTGCAAGAAGCACTATCTCCCCTCCCGTGGCAGCAGGGCAGGTCCCCTTGCAGACCTGACCTGGGGGACAAGGTTCTGAGCAGCAGGGATGAGGTTCCCAGGCTGGCCTCCCCACACTTTAATTATTACTGTCCATCCTCAGAGACCCCCGCAGTGCAGGTAGGAGCCCCAGCGTGGTGGTGATATGGGCATGGTGGCCAGGAGTGGCTCGTGAGACAGAGCTGGGCATCCCGCATCAGGCAGGAGGGATGAGTGTCCCCTCTGGAGGACACTCTGCACCTTGCCCCAGGCTCTGCAGGACGAGCATGGACTATTAACTCCACTGGCTTGCCTTTGCAGTTAAAATTTTTTTGTTTAGGCTCACACTGGAGTTAATGGCCAAAGCTGCCACCATCAATTATTTATAAACACAAATAGATAGTTGAGCTTCATAAATTGGGTCCCTCGTGCCCGTGTGCGGGCAGAGCTCTCACAAAAGGCTATTTTTGAATTGCTGACGGCCCCAAATCAGCAGCGCAGAGGCTGGAGCCAGAGCTGAGCCCCAAGCCCTGGGCAGCTGAGCTCCCTGACACGTCCTGGGCATGGACCAGGTCCATGGGGAGCCAGGGTGCTCTGGGGAGAGGCTTTGTCCCACGGCACCCGTGATGGCAAGGCTGCCAGGACCAGCATGGGAAGCCTAGTACAAGTCTCAGTGGATCAGAGCTGGATCCACCTTACTGACAGCTTGAATTGAGCTGACAATAAATTTAAAAAAAACACTGCAAATTAGGAAGGGGAAAAACTGAGGCTGTGACCTTCTGATGGTCCAGAGCCTGCCAGCCCTCCTCCCACGCTGCGCATCAGAGGGAGGCAAAAATACATCCTTTGTTTTCGGCAGCGGTGCGGCAGACTGCAATCCTCCAAACCCAGCGCCACGACTACATCATTTTCAAGGAAATACTTGAAGTGATCCCAAATATTCTCCCCGAGCATCTGGGCAGGCTCACCAGCGGGACTGAACTGGAGCATCAAAGAGGATTAAAGGGAACAGCCCCTCTCCCTCTTGCCTTCCAGAGGCGGGAGGCAGCTGAGGCTGTCCCCGGCGGTGACAGCAGAGGTGACGGCTGGGGACGTCCCATCCGCCTGATGCCACAATCCGACAGGGAGGCAGCAAAATGGGATTTAGCAAGTGCAAAGCGGAGGTTTGCTCACGCGAACGTGAGCGCACCTGAGTCCTAATATTTGCAGATGTTCCCCAGCGAACGTATTTATCCCTGCAAACTTGGTCTTTTATATTCCAACTGGGGCCGTGAGCTGGAACGGGTCCAGAAACACGCCGTTTGATGAAAAGCCCCCCCGAGCTGGCTCCTCTCCCGCCCCCACCCCTGTCACAGGCGTAGTGGCTGTCTCTTCTTTTTACATAATCCCCGTGGCACCAGGAGTGCCTGGCAGCCGGGGGAAGCAGCGCTGGGGACGGGCAGGATCCCAGGAGCGGTGCGGGAGCTGGGGGCAGCCCTGCCCGGGGGGCAGCAGCAGCACTTTGGGCTGAAGCAGGGGAGCAGCTATCTGTATTTTTACCCTAAAACAAGGGGCAGCTTCGCTAGCACATCATTTTAAGCAGCACACACTGTATAGCTTAGCGCCAGAGACATAATTCAAGCAGAAAATGAATTGAGAAGGACTTCAGCTTCGAATGTAAGGGAGCTGAAGACTTTGCAGGATTATTATTGCAGCCGCTGGGAAAAGCCTTTGGCTTCTCCAGCCACTGGATTTCCCTCAAACTGAGAAACCTGGTGCAGAGATGAACACGAAATACCAGCTCCATCGCCGTTGGTAGGCGTCTTCCCTAACTAAAGGTTATCTCAATTCAGCAGCTTCGCAGCTGAGCCTGGAGGTTTAGTCAGTTCTTCCTCCCAATTCCCCTTCATTTCTTCTCTTGGGAAAGAAATCAGCTCTAGATATGGAGAGATTTGGGAGCAGAAACAGGGATTAGTCATAAAGATAAAATATCAGCCTTGTCACAAATGAGATGCTATTCCTGATGCAATTCCCCAGGTCTCGGGCAGGCAAAGCTGGAGGAGCCGTCAGGGCTGTGCTGAACACCAGCGGGAGGATTCAGCCCTCCTCATTGAAACCTTATCTAGAAATAAGCCAGAAAGGATTTACAAAGGCCCAACTTCGGAGGCTGCAGGAGCGTTTGTGTCATGTGGGCAGCAAAGAATTGCAATTACCCAGCGTGTCAGTACACTGATAGCGCCGGCAGCCCGGGGGAAATCAGCAGAGATAACTTCTGACAATTAGTACACAGCATCCATAAGCCTAACAAGCAGAAGCCATGACTTGGTAACAGGTCACGTCTCTGAATGACATGATCAAAGACACGTTTCCCTCAGTTGTGCTGATGGGGGAAACTGAGGCAGGGAGGTGCAGTGGCTTGGACAGGGCTGCAGGAGGGGAGGGGGGTCACAGGGAGCTGCCGGCTGGCACCGCTCCACCGGCCCCTTCTCCACCTGCGGGAGGCTGTGGGCGTTGGATTAAAGGACAAGTTATATTTGGGAGTTGTCTTTCTTCAGGCAGGACCCTCCACCTTCCCTCAAATAGTGCCCTCCCCACATCTGGGGCCAGCCAGGAGTCGAGATTGTCACAACCCTGGGAGACCCCCGGAGCACTGAGCCTGCCCCAGCACCCCAGCTGGCTCCAGGAGACATTAATCAGCGTTTCTACTCTCACTGCAAGCACCTCCTGGACCATTTCTGCTGCCGACACCGTGCTGGGGAGCAAGCGTTGGGAGCGTGCAATGCTCCTGCTAAAAGTTGGTCATGGCTGAACGGCAGGAACAAGCATTCGGAAAGGCCGGGTTTCCAGTCACGCAAAGCCTCTGGGTTACTTATCAACCATTCAGGCAACTCACAGCAAACTGCATCTGAGCATCCCGTTCACTCTGCTTCCATACACCTTGTCTGTGCGGTTCCTGGAGAGTTAATATTGAAATTTTCAGAACTACAGGATTGCCTGAACCAAGCCGAGCGCTGAGCTGCACACACACTTGGATTTCATGTAAGGGTGCTAAAGCCAGCTTGGCTTTGCATCAGCCCTGATGACTGTGAAACCAGTGTAACTGCAAAACTGCATCCCAGCCCCGCACCACTCCCCCAGAGGGGGTACGGGCGGCTCCACAGGACCCTCAGCCACTATTCCGTGGGCTGGGAACAAGCACAGCTAAAGTTCCCTGGAGCCCTGCGCCCCTCACCGCCACCCCCATGCCCATGGTGACCCCCTCGCTCGGGCAGCCGGGCTGCTCTGCACAAGGCTGCTCATGGGGGCAGAGCATCCCCAGGCTGCTCCCTTCTCCTATTCCCGGTAACGTCACCCATTAGTGGCTGAAAAGGGACATCCTGAACAGGCAGAAGCCAGCTGCCAAAGTCACAGCAATCCTTCTCATTTTCAGCTGAAGGCATGACAGAGAAGCTTATCAGCTGCCTACACTGAGCGCTTCAGACTGAAGTCACAGCTGTTCATTATGTTTCCTGCCTGGGTTAGGAGGAATAAAGATCTGTAAGATGCATGAAGCATTTTACAAGAATGCCCATTATTTTCTTTTCTGCATTTCACCTAAAATTGGCTTTGATCTCATCTTCACTAAGTGAATCAGGTAAAAAGTCAGTAAACGATCCCCATGATAAAATGGTACCCAAGGCAGATCCTTTTTTCGCTTCACACAACATACTGCAAATGAACTTTTCCTGTCCAGCCTCAAACATGCTTTGTTAATTGATTTTTCTGCTCATTAGTAGCAATATAAGTTATATTGAGCAATTAATAGAAACCATCTTAACACCGCCGTCGTAAATTCACAACGTTGCATATAGTCTACCCAGGCAAGCGGGCTTTTGTATAAAATCACAAATATATATGCCTGAAAAAACATGAACACTCAAATGCTATTCAGTTATGCACGAGTTTCAAAATCTATTAATAACCCTAGTAGAGAGCTCCTCTGCAAAATCAGATGCATCCAGGCGGCAATTCTTTAGAGGCAAAGTAAAGAGCTATTACACTGCAATGTAACAAAGAACCATACCGTGACCATACCTATATTTCATGCCCGTTTGCTTTGCGGTGGATTCTTTTAATGAAATGTGGTGCTGAGGGGTAAATGTCCCCAAACTGCGAGCAATAATCGCCACTGTCCGAAATTTTGCCCGGGCTGCATTGACTACGTTGGGGGTAGTGCTGTTCTGCTTGCTGATGAGTCTGTCTTCACCATTTCGACTCTTCAAGTTGTGGTCTGTGCAGGCGATGGACACCTGCATCGCGCCCCGGGTACCCCTTCAGCCACCGGCCGGACCCCCGGCCGCCCCCCCAGCAGCGCGGGGCTGGCTCCCAAAGGCTGCCGAGGAGAAACGACGACCTTCAACTCCCAGAAGTAGCCGAGGGCAGCGGTGGGGAGTGGGGTGAGGGTCTCCGGGAGAGAGATGCCGGGAGGAGAGAAGCCCCGAACTTGACAAAGCGCAGATTTCGGCTCGGAATCTCCCCCTCGCAGCCTTGGCCGCCGCTCAGGCACAAGCATCCATCCGGTCAGGTGCGTTCAGAGACATCGAGCTGGTCCTTCATGGTGAGCCCTCCGGCAGCAGCCGCCGCTCTCTCTGTCTCTCTCTCTCTGTGTCTCTCTCTCTCGATGCAGCCTTGCTCCTTCCTGCCGGTTTTAAATCTCTGCGGGCAGGCTGCGAGCCCTGGCTCCCTCCTCGCCCGCTGGCCCCCGAACTGCTGAGCAGGCAGCCTCTGCCGGCCGAGGAACCAGCCGCTCTCTAAGGACCACAGACATCCACGGCTTCTTCCTTGTGCCCAGCTGCGGCAGCCCCGCTACATCCACACCCCCCCTTCCCCAACATCCACACCCCCCCTCGCTGGGGCCGGCTCTGCGGCTGCTTCCCGGGATGGCCCCGCCGGGAGACCGGGAACCGGCCTCCTTTGTGCTCAGGGGGGAGGCAGGGGCTTCTGGCAGACGCCCCCCGTAAATAGAGCTGCCGGCATGGCCGAGCCGGGAGAAGAGCTCTTACCGCGGGGAGAAATTCGGTCTTAAAAATGGGCTCATCGTGGGGGGGAAAAAAAAAATTAAAAAAAAAAAAAAGCCAAACCTAAACCGGGGAGGGAGGAGGGAGAGAAAAATGGCTCTGCTCCAGCGTGCCAGTGAGTTAACACGTTAATCCCGTGTTTCTGGCACCCGGAGCCGCCGCCTGCAGACCCGCGCTGGCAGCAGTGCCAGGGTTAATCCCCCCCTCCCACCCCCCAGCATCGCCAGCTGAATAAACCGCAGCGAAAAGTCTGCGAAGGGAACAGTCCCTGTCCCTGTCCCTGTCCCTGTCCCTGGCTGCCGGGGGGGGCTGCAGCCGGAGCAAGGAGCCCGGCACCGAGCCCCCGGTGCCCACCGCCGTGTGCCGCCTCTCCCGGCGTTGGGCACCGAGGGCAGCCCGGGGAGCCCTGGGCTGGTGAGGTGCTTCCCGGAGTGGTGGTGGGGGGGATGAGGCAGGGATGGGGGTGGTTTGGAGTCACCCCCGAGCCCCCAGTCCCTCGCTGCCAGCAGGCAGAGCAGCCCTGGGGGAGGACAGGCGGTGGGCAGAGGTTTGGGCACAGCCCGGGTGCAGCCCCACAGGACAGGGGTGTACGGGGTGTACATGGGGCTCATGGGGTGTACATGGCAGTGCAGAGTGGGCAGGTGGGTGAGGGCTGAGGTCACCCTCCATCCCTTCCCCAGCCCACAACAGGCCAGTGGGAAATATTCCACAGGGATTCCCCACACCCTAAACCTGCCCTCGGACCTCTCAGGCTCTCCACCCCAGCCCGGGTGAGGATGGTTGCCTCATCCACCCACTGCAGCCCAGGCTGCCCTGGACCCTGTCCCCTTGGGGTGCTTCTGCCAGGCTGGTGGCCCCCCAGCCTCTCCAGTGACCTGCCAGGTGCTCCCCTGCCCAAAGCACACCAAATTGGAGCAGGAGTGGTGGCAAGAAGAGAGAAGCTGGAGGTGCTGGTGTGGCGATGACGACCCGTTTTGAACTCAGAATGAAAAACCTCTGATTTCGTCCCCTGCAGAGGGGGCACAGCAGAGTTTTCTCCCCCCACGCCCATCCTGCTGAGGAGGGGGAGTGGGAGAGCGGCTGGGTGGGCCGCCGGCAGCCAGCCAAGGCCACCCACCACCCAGGGTGACAGGGTGAATAGCTTCTGATGATCTCTTTGCAGTTCCTTCATCTAATGGCTCATTAACGCTTATGCAGCACATTTCTCTAAGGCTGATCTTGGGGGGGTGGAAGTCAGAAAGGTAAGTAATAAGTAGCTGAACTAACCCCTGCGAGGCTGTGTCTCAGACACAAGATTGAGCTTTGAGAGAGTTTCCAGAAATCTAATCAGTGAGTTAGTATTACTGATCACAAATAAATGCTGTTAAATACCCAGAAAAGAGGGTATCATCTTGGGGCACAAGCCATGGGGTCGCTGACACCAAGGTGCCCCATGGTGGGACCTCATCCAGCACATCCTCCGTGTCTCCATGGGACCGAGGGACGCAGCTGGCACATTGCTGGTGGCATCCATGGGTCTCTGCCTTGACAGCGCAGCCAGCCCAACACAAACTAAGCACCCATTTGGCTTCTGGAGCCTAGCTTTGCCTTTCAGAGTCCAAAGCAAGATTGACAAGATTGGGATAATTTCTCTTTCTGATGGACATATGGCATCCTCTTGCTGGGCACAGATATTTCAAGAAATAAGATGTATTTTTTCATCTTCTTGCTCTATACATGTCTAAAGAGCTCCCGTCACAGCTGGCAGCTGGCTGTGCTGGTGCTGCCGAGCAGACTGACTTGGTCCTGGGGACGTGCCTGGGTACCATCACCCAGGCTCTGGTCACCATCCCAAATGCCACTGCTGCCCATGCCCTGGGGTGTTCAGCCCAGGGAGGGACAGAAAGGGACAGTCACGTTCTGCACTGGCACATCCCACAGAGCATATTAACTCAAGCCGCTTAGCTTCAGAGGGGTTACAGTCTCTGCCAAAGAAATATGCATTTAAATATGGGATTTATTTCATTTCTCTGAACAAGATAATCACTTCCAGACTAAAATGTTAGAATAACATAATTTTGTATCATGAAAATCCCGAGCTTATAAAACAAGAGGTACGTGATGGCCTGGGCGGAGGAGGGTGCTGGGGTGCGGTGGCAGCTCTGGCCAGGCTCTCTGTGCCACTCCAGTGCCACCAAACTGCCACAGACCCAGCTATTTGCCAAGACCTATGTATGCATTTCCCCCCCCAAGGAAGATGACAGTCGCTCATTAAACAACTTGCTCAAAATGCTTCATCAAGCAAATCTGGTTTAACACAGATGCTCACGACCACGCTGGCTTTGCCTTTCCTGTGATCCCTGTTAGCCCCTGCCCCAGGATCCATCCCGGGGTTCAAAATAAAGACAAAAGCCAAACACAGACGAGCAGGATGCTCTAGGCAAGCGCAGAAGCCAGGAGGTGTTTTGCTCCTACACAAATAGACTGTCCTGGGCATTGAGACATGTGTTTCTTTGCCCAGGACCTTGCAGGGGCAGGATGATGAGCATCACTGCAGCGAGCAGAATGGAAACTTCCAAAAAGGAAAAAAAAAATACTTGATTCAGAGCCGGTCTGGTCCCTGCAGAGGCACGGCAGGGAGCTGGGGCCGTGCAGCCCAGCGGGTGATGGACAAGCCCTTCCCCAGTTCTCCCCAGGGGCAGGACTGGAAGCACTGGGGGCAGAGGGGCTCTCTGTTCCCGGGGCCAGGCAACAGCAGGGCTCCGGCTGTAAGGAGGGGGGAAAAGATGCTTCTGCAGTCCAAAACATAAAAATAAACCAAGGTCCTTCAGTCTGGGTTGGATGAAACGTTTCAAGCTGATGCAGACGCAGGCTCTGGCACGGCTCAAGCTGAATGCACTGATTGCTTCTTTCTTCTTTTCTTTCTTTTCTTTTTTTTAAATTCCACTTTCTGGTAAAGCAACTTTCAAACTTTATGCCAAGCCTGGCTTGAGACTTCGCTTCCTGATGGCTGCAGTCATGGGCTGTTTACACTAATTACTCTGCTGTGCTGTTCTACCAAAGCAGAGCATTTTACTGGACACATATCAATTAATATCTTATTCATTTTTATTAAATTTAAGCTGATTGCTAGCTATACCTGTATTTTTGGTAATGCCAATAAGCTGTATATATATATTCTGGCAGGTTCTGTCAATCTTTTAAGAAGACAGGTCTTAATTTCATGCCCTTCTTGTGCTCAGACCTCAGGAACAGGTTGTACTCATGATAGCCACAGATGTTAATTAAACAATACGCACTGCACTGGCAACAAGGCCAAGCCAAGTAGTGAGCATGGGGTAAAAGGTAGAGCAGATGACCTCTGCCTCCATCCCTGAGCCATTCATGCTTTACCAAGTAAAACCTCTTTATCAAAGAAAATGGGTTTTTTTTTTCATTACCAGCTGCAAAGTTCATGTTTCTACCTAAAGAAGTGGAAATCTTTACTGATCTATATACAATCTCATCTTTTACATAAATAATCTGAGTATTTCTCAGTCTTAACCTTAATTTCCTACAGAATTGTCTTAGAAATTTTGAGTGCTGATAAAACGAATCTGAAGAGCTGTTAAAAAATATCCATCCCAGGCATCTCCCTGGGACAAGGCACCAGGGCTCTGTTCCCAAGCAGGTGAGCCCCAGGAAAGCTGCTCCGCTCTCTGCACCCCCTCGTCGATGCAGGGACCTGGGCAGGTACCCACCTCCCCTTTAATCCCATTTTTGCTTTGTAGGGGAGCGGGATTGGCACATCTGTGAGGACACACGGGGGCCATGACCTGGGCAGAGACTCTGGGATGTTCTCAATGAATTACAACATAATTTGGGCACTTTTTCACCTTATTTCAGTCGGAGGTTTATGCACCGTGGAAGATGCTCCATGGTGTTTGGCTGCAGGTTGCGGTACAGAGGAGAGCTGGACACCAACTACATATAGCCAGTTACATAAACCCACATCCCTGCACGCTAACCAGCAATCCAGGTCACCAATAATGATGCCATCTCAGCTGGTTTAAGCTCTTTAACTGAAATTATTCAACCTCGACAGAAGCCATCAACTTAATACAGCAACAAACGAAGCACCCGTCAGCACCAATGTCAGCTGAGCCCCTCGGCAAAGTTTCTTTGCTAGAAGACTCCCTTTTTAGCAACGTGTCATGGTTTAACCCCAGCCAGCAACCAGGACCACGCAGTCCTTGTGTCTGCACGTACACCGTTCACACATGGAGGGACTTTGCCCAGTACCATGGGTGGGCCAGTGTCCCTGCCAGACACTGAGGACCTCGTGTGAGCTGGGGGCAGCAGCTGCCACCCAGCAAGGTGCCTGGGATGTGAATTGGGATGAGTCCTGGGGTGCTGAGCACCCCCACACCTGCCTGCCAGGGACTGTGGACCCATACCCCACAGCTAAAGCTTGTGCTGGCCCTAGGGCAGCATCCCCACGGCAGGTACAGGGCATTTACTCGGTGGCACAAAGCAGCCATGTGCTGTTCCCTCTGGGGGCTGTTGGGTGCCTGAGCCCCATCTCCTCCAGGGCATCCTTTGGGCCAGCCCCATGGGTGCTCCCCGAGGGCTGTGGGCAAGGACACAGAGCTTTTGGAGGGGGAACATACTTCAAACTGCTTTTGTTCCCGATACCACCCCGATGCTACACATAAGCAGAGGTTTGTGGTTATCACTGCTCCCTGTGGCAGTGCAAATGCCCAGCCTTGCATCACCCCTGCATAATTACACGCAACATTAAACACAGAGTCTGAACTGTTTTCCCCGGTGCTGCAGAAGCAGCCTCTCCCCTCCAGCAGCTTCCCGGGCTGGGCTGACAGCAGCCCTCCTTATGGGACCTCAGCCAGGTGTCTGTCAAGGAGACCCCACCAGCACCCTGCACAACAGCAAAACCAGCACCTGAACTGGTTTTTGGGTGCAAAATGCAGCCCAGTACCAGCCACTACATCACCCTGTAGAAACCTGTACCCTGGCAGCTTTCCCTCTTTGCTCCCTACAGGAAAGGACCTCCCCTCTGCACCCATGGCCAGAACATCACCGGGGAGCAGTGAGATGCAGCAGGACAGAAAAAGTCACCACTTCCAGCCTAGAGGCATATTAAAAATATGATTTGAGT